GAGCTTCTTACTACTGTAACGACCGCGCCAACGTCGAAAGAAAAGAGAGAGATATAAACTTAGGAATAACTACGTTGGAAACTTCATAAGACTAATATATCCGTTCTCGAGACTTCTATATTCGCCATCGTTTTATTTTTCAGAAAATAGAGAGTTTCGATATCAATGAAAATCAATGATAATTATCTTTAATTTATTTTATACCGATACAATAAATGTGTTTTACGAGCGTCCTTCAAGAAAAAAAAAAAAAGAAAGAAGAAGACAATTTCATACTCGTTCTTTGAAACTTTATCCCTCTAATCCTTTAACCCTATCTCATATTTGATCTCTCTTGAATTGGCAAACCGACAATTAAACTTTCAAAACCTGTCCATTAGCGCGAATTAACGGAGCACACTAACTCATCTGGATACCAACGATGCGACGTACTTAATTTACGTGCATAGTAATACGAGTAAAAGAGAGATAGATAGATAGATAAAGAGAGAGAGAGAGAGAGAAATAGAGAGAGAGAGAGAGAGAGTGGAGTGTATTTATCCTCCTTTTCCCTCGAGGACAGTGCATTGGTGCGTGCAAAATAGAGCTCTGGTGCAAGAGAAACAACCAATGGAGAACTAGAGATACAGAGAGAAAGAGAAAGAGAGCGAACGAGAGAGAGAGAGAGAAAGAGAGGGGTTGAGAACGTAGGTTGTACAGGATCCAACGACAGAGGGACATTCAGAGACTGATGGCACAAACCTTTTAGGCAAACTAATGCACCGAACCTGTAACACCAGAGAGGACACTCTACGGACTCGTGTCAGGGCAAACTACCCCCGCCTCGGGTCTTCCACGACAACCATGTTATATAGGATGAAGTATTTAAATGGAATCGTTCGATTATCATATCGAAGTTTTAGCGAAATAAGAACTTGAGAAATTCGTGAGTGGTAAATCTTCATTAGATAAGAAATAAATCGAATCGGGCGTCGCATCATTATGAAAATGGTAATTATAACTTTCGAAAAAGAGATTTTGTAATAATTAGATAAAAAAAAAAGAAATAAGTAAGTAATTATCTTGGTTGCAAAACTATTGATCGATTGGATCATTATTGAAATGTCTGATTTAAGCGTGTAATTAAGACGAAGATTCAATGAGGTAATTAAAAAGGAATTACAATGGTATACGTTATATTTGAATGTTTTATTGAATAATAAAACGAGATATTTTAATAACCAAAAAAAAAAAAGAGAAAAACAGACAATGAGAGATAGAGGGAGAGAGAGAGAGAGAGAAACAGAATTTAATTAATGAAAAGATATTCCTAACTTTTTTAATGAGCATTTAATATTCTTTTTTTTTCTTTCTTTTCTCCTGATCAACGATGAATAAAAAAAAAAGACTCAATGAATGGCTGAAATGATTGTACATGTATCTTCGACCCCTCTCAAACGTCTCACCCTATATAGTTAGTCGTATATACGAATACATACGTACGTACATACGTTCCGGTAGGATTCATTATGGCAAAACGTAGTGAGTTTCGATGAGCAAGTCAAGAGCGCACGCGCTCCTGCAATTACCTGCCGAGTTCCCCTTTACACATATATTGACACATAAATACACACACATACACACATACAGAGTTTCAGATAGACGCATAACGACGAACGTGTTCGCATAATTAAAACGTGGAACGGCTGATTATTAATTTAGGTATTACTCTACAGACCTATATGCCATGTGCGTTCCTTTGGAGGACACGGGCAACGTTAAAAAAAAAAACAAATATTTATATATATATACATATGTATATTTATATATATATATATATATATATATATATATATATTTATACGTTCCGCGTCTCGCAATCACGTTGATCATTTTAGCGGACCAAAATAACGATCGTTGCAATTAAATTTCTAGATTCGTGAATCACTGGAGCGTAGATTATTTTTTTTTTTTTTATTTCGTTACATTATTTTTTCTTTTCTTTCCTTTTCTGTTCTTTTCTTTTTCCTTTTTGTCTTTTTTGTTTTTACAGAATTACATTATCTATTTATTTTTATATATATTTCATTATGTCTTTCAATTATATTTTCACGAAATAATTGGGATAACTTTAATTTTTATCCTTATGCTTAATCATAAATATTACTAATTATCTATAATATTAGTTTTATAAACGCGTGTATGATATAGAAAAAAAAGAAAAAGAAAGAATAAGAAAAAGAAAAAAACAAATAACGAAACAAAGGGAACAAGACAAATTTTAAAATAAGAAAAAAAATGTACGATATCTCGTACATAATATTTATTCATAATAATATTAAATAATAATACTCGATGGAAGGATTTAAAGATGATGATAAGAGAGTTGCATTACAACTGCAAGGGAGTTTCGAAGGGAAAAAGAAAAGAAAAAAAAGAAGAGCAAAAAAAAAAGAAAGAAATAAAGAAGAGGATAAAGAGAGGGAAGAAGAGGATAAGAGAGGGAGAAGGAGAGAAACTCCCAACGTTAATTACGATACGGCTGGCATGGCTAACGGAGAGAGGTCGGTCCCTTTACTTCCCGCCGTCTCTCTCTCTTTCTCTCTCTCTTTCTCTATCTCTCTCTCTTTCTCTCTCTCTCTTTCTCTCTCTCTCTTCATATGAATATCGCATTAAGTCATAAAGGAGAGATAGCTTTAGGCCAGGGGTGGTCCCCGATGGGAAACTACGAATTTAATAGAATAATAAATGGACTGGTCCACGTCGGAACCCGAGGGCCAAGATCGAACACGATCGAGATTCAACCTTTCGTGGCTTCGATCGCAAAGGCGATTTCGCCTGATCGGAGTTTATGATAATATGTACCGATATTTTGATGAAGCCCTCGTAAAACCAGACCAGTTTGTTGAGAATTTTCGGAGTGTGAGATTCGAACGATCCGTATATTTTCATACAAGTTGATAATAAAATCTCTGTGCTCTTGTGAGTTTTATATAAATATATATATATATATATATATATATATATATATATATCTACTTGTATATTTTTAACAATTCTCTAAATTGATATTCTGACGTAATTAATCAAATTAATTTCACGTTCATTCAATTTATAAATTAAAAAAAAAGGTATGTATATATATATATATATATATATATATATATATATATATATATATATATATATATATTTAACGATACGTATTAATTTTGCACTAATCAGGACGCACGCCATTATTATGACTCATGAGTATAATCTCGTAAAAGTCGGAATAAACAAATACCTACTTACCTGCTATGACTCATGATATTACAGTTTCATATATCTAAATCTAAGCTAAAACAAATATCCCATATAAAAGTTTTAAATATAAATTGACAAGATTGAAATTGTCGACTATCAATTCCGTAGAATTTTACGAAAAGAAAAGGATCATTAAGAAAGAAAAAAAAAAGGATTTATAAGAAATGAATAAGAAAATTTCGTGATTTTCTGTAAAATTGTGAAAAGGAGAAAAAGAGAGAAAGAGAGAGAGATAGAGACAGACAGAGAGAGAGACAGAGTGAACGAGAATCAGAATGAGAGAAAGGGAGAGAGAGAGACAAAGAGAAGGGAAAGAGAAAGAGAGAGATAGAGAGAGTCCGTTCGGTAGCGATAACACAATTAGCTAGTCTCGTGATCCCGAGCGAGAGGGACTGATAAGGGTCGAACGTTTGAGATCGGCTCTCGTCGAGTTCCCGACAAATCCTAACACGAAGATCCCTCGGGACTACAGGACGTTTCAGGGATGCGCGATAAGGGATGGCCTGAGGCCACGGCTTAACCCTATCTCCGTCTCTCTGTCTATCTCCCTCTTTTTCTCTCTCTCTCTCTCTCTCTCTCTCTCTTTTTCTCTTGTTCGTCATTCGACAGAGTTTCGACCCCAACACTAATACCTTCCGGCAGGTTTTCTTCGCTTGATTTATTCCGTAGGGGTCTCGATTCGCGCCACGCACGGGACGATGCGCACGTGCACGCGCGCGCTCGTGCGGCTTTTCGCACGGCCGTGCGTAAGTAGCGCACGAGGAGTGGGTAGAGAAAAAGGAGTGTGAGAGAGGATATGTGCCGCGAGCAAAACGGTTTGCCATTCGAATGAAATCTTCCTTCCTTCTCTCTCTCACTCTTTATCTCTCTCTCTTTATCTCTCTTTCTCTCTTCCTCTCTCTCTCTCTCTCTCTCTCTGTCTCTCTCTCTCTCTCTCTCTCTCTCCGTCTTTCCCTCTCATCAATTACAAAAGAAAATTTATTATCGATTTTACTGTGATATTTATTTTTGTTCAAATATTTAACTTATTGCATTTAATTTATTACATTTTCGCATATATTCATAGATACAGTATTTATATAATATCTATGTAATATTTGTACTATATTTATATTGTATTTATATTGTATAATCGTACATTTATTTCTAAAATTTATTTGTATAATCTTACATTTATTTCTAAAATGTATTTCTATACACACACACACACACACACACACAAACATATATATATATATATCATTTTCATTAACATTTATATATAATATTAATATGATATTTATATATAGTATTTACAATGCAATATCAATTTTCACATGATATGAATTAATTAATGGGAGTACATTAAATATCTTTGTCTCGTTCGTAATCATAAATTTGAGATCATAATCTTTAAAGTATCATTGTCTTTTCAAAATTCACCGAAAGATCAAAGAGAAAGAGAAAGAAGGAAAGACGATGTGTGCGGTAATAGGACAAATTTTCGTCGAGGGAGGGCGGCAACTGTCAGATAGAGAAAGAAAGAGAAAGAGAGAGTGAGAGAGAAATAGACGGAGACAGTTAACGAGAGAGAGAGAAAGAGAGTGAGTGAGAAAGAGGGAATAGTGTAGTGTGTCGGTGGGGTCAAGGAGTCGACTGGAGGGGGGAGCAGGTGGCTCGGGAGGGGGGAAAGGGACGAGTCAGGAGCCGAGCGGCGGAAGAAACGACAGTCGCCACTCGACGCCCGCACCGTACGGAACGGAAGCTCCGTGCTATCTCGTACAAACTAAATATAAACGACCCTTTTTCAAAAACGCGAGTGAAAGAGACAGAAAGAAAAAGTTTCGAAGCCTCCTATAGATTTTATTTTCTTATTTAATATTACTAACGTGTATAAGCGTCCTTTTTTTTGTTTTTGTTTTTATTTCCTTCGCGACTTCCTCACGTTCATATTTATTTATTAATCTTGATCGTTAATTCTTTGTTGTTTCTTTTTTTTTTTCTCTTTAATATTTATTTATTATCGTTCTTTCTTTCTTACGTGTGCGATCGAATATATATATATTTTTGTGACAATTTACGAATATACATATATATATATATATATATATATATATATATATATATATATATATATTTGTAAGAGTGCGAAAAGGGTGGGATATTTATAAAGATACTTAAAAGGGGGTTTTGATCAACACACTCGTGGCCGGTACGCTACACACGCGGGAAACCTATAGAGAAACTTCGAAAGGGAAGAAGAGAAAGAGAGGGAAAGAGGAAGTCGACGACTCGATATCAAACAGACAGCAAACGACAACGAGAAAGAAGAAAAAGAATAAAAAGCGGAAGAGAAGAAAGAGAAGGAGGAAGAGGAGGAGGAGAAGGAGGAGGAATCGAAAGAGAGGACGCCGATTTGGAAACAGGTGTGAGTCAGTTGAAGTCCAGGGCAAAAGTGGCGGAAATTTGTGGAGTAATTGTACGTGATAAAGAAGAAGAGGAAGAGCATCCTCGTAAAACGCAACTTATCTTTCGACGTATCCCGTACGCGATCCCGAATGGTGAGTTATATCAATGTATTATCAATATATATATATATATATATATATATATATATATATATATATATATATATGTGTGTATTTATATAATTTTTTATTTTTAACGAAAACAAAGAAACAAGAGAAAAAGAGAATGAAAATGAGAAATTTCTTATCTTACTACCAAAGAGAGTGTAGACTGCGAGTCGCTTTTCTCAATAGATAGAAAACTTTTCCTTAAGAGAGTAATCAACTTTACTTTTTGACTTATCTCTTTTAAGATATATTTATGTGTACATAGAAAGAGAAAGAGAGAGAAAGAAAAAGAGAGAGAGAGAGAGAGAGAGAGTGTGTCTGTGTGTTTGTATGTCTATGTGTATCTGGAAACGGGCTTCGATCTTTCCTCAGCATATAAAGTAACCATGAACTTTCTACGAGAAGTCGTCTTATCGAACATCGAAACGTTTTAACAGAAGTACTAGTTAACTTTCCTTGAAGTTTTTTCGGTAATGGTCTCAACGAGTTCCTCTACCATCGAGTTCCACTCTCACCAATCCACAAGTCCTTCACCGTTCTTTCCTTCGAAACTATTGCAACGTAGAAAGAAAAAAATCAATGACTACTAGAGACGTTATTACGATTTGCATAGTAATGTAACGTTGTTATACATATTACAAAATACCTAAAGATGCGTCGTAGTCCGTATTACGAAAGATCTCTAGATATATATATATATATATATATATATATATAAAATCGAATGTACAATATTCGTAAAAAAAAAAAAGAAAATCAATTTCGCTTTCGTTTCGACGCTCGTAAAAATTTTTTTTTTATCGATTCGATACGTTCGATTTATTTCTTGGCATTCTCGAGAGAGCTTGTATCGTAAAATCAGGCTATGGCAAATACGAGAAAGAGAAAGAGAAAGATATCGGATATCATGGAAGCACGTTTTATTCTTGTCATCGACCATCGTCAAGCATAATCATGATTCGGCACGATCATCGACCGTGTAAAACTCGATATTGGACGCTTTCCTGTATACTAACGATGTTACTATAATACATACACCTCGATTCTCCTTCTCTTTTTCTTTCTCCCTCTCTCTCTTTCTCTCTCTCTTTCTCTCTCTCTCTCTCTTTCTCTTTGTTTCTTTATTTCTTTCTCTGATCCTCGTTTAAAAGAGAAACGTCAGTAATCATAAAGGGTTCGCGCTACTTCCATTATAATACTTCCGCCTGCGGACCAAAAGTCGATCTTACTGTTTTATTACTCTTATTATTATACTTATAACAAATGTAAAAAATTTTTATATACTCTTTTATATCATTTTCGAACACAAAATATAAACATATTTATTTGCTATCTCATTTAGCTATGTTTGTTGAAGAGAAAATACGATTGTTTCGTAAGTGGAACGATCAGAAAAAAGGGGGATGCTCGAATTAATGAAAAATAATAATTAATAATTTTGCAACGCAGAAAACATTATTTATATTTTGTACATTTTTCTTTACATTTAATAACGATATATTACATAAGGATTGTATAACGAAGTATCGTCGAGAAAGAAAAAAAGAAAAAGAGAAAAAAAGAAAAAGAAACAAAAATTATACAATACTACGAAAAAAAAAGATATCTATAGCTGTGTATGTATGTACGTCTGTAGAGAAAATCGTAATATTCGAATTTTAAAGGATCGAACGTAATAAACATTTCCCGTTCTTTCAAATGTTTATATCGTTTTAAATCAATCATATATTTTTGTTATAATTGCTTGAGGAGAGAGAAAGACAGAGAGAGAGAAAGAAAGAGAGAGAGAGAGAGAGAGAGAGAGAGAGCAATGTCGTTACTTTTACTACATACACATTGAAAAAGCAGCAGGACGTATATATCGTTCTCGGGAAACGAGCTCTCTCTCAGCTGGAAGTCGACTCGATCGCCACTGCAGATTCGAGTGGTTTGTTTACAAACAAATGACGTGGCCTGCTCGCGGCGTATAAAAGCACTCTCGTCGTTCTCGACATCAAACCTCTTTGCGTAATTATTCACGTTCGCGATCGTTGCTCATTGATACGAACGGTTGATGGTTAACTAGTGGGAGGAATGTCTCTCTCTCTCTCTCTCTCCTTCTTTCTCTCTCTCTCTCTCTCTCTCTCTCTCTCTCTCTCTATTTCCTCCTCTCTTTTTCTCTGTTTCTCTTAGGAATACGAACGAATGAGATAACTGAGTTCGATTATCTTTGACTTGTAGCCACTATCAATGTATTTTTGTCAAATGTTCCTTTAACCTTGATTAACTAAAGAATAGTTTAGAATGAATTAAAATTCAAGTTAATAAGATTTCTTCAAGATCCAACATTGACTATTAGTATAAATCCAATTATGTCTGGAATATATATACACACATACATACATACATACATACATACATACATACATACATACATACATACATACATACATACATACATACATACATACATACACACACACACATATATACATATATATCTTATTTTTTATAATCTTTTTCTTTGTTTCATGTTCTCTTTTTCATTAGTAAACATTTGATCGAGATCGAAGGATCGTTTCATTTAAATATACCTTTGATCATTGATCGTTTGACTAGATAATAGAGATATTTTAAGAGAAAAGCTTTCGTTACCTTAGACAAGGAACCATGCAATAGAATTCTATTCCAACTAATTCTTATCGAGTATCGAGGATATTTAACAGATATGATTTCCTTTGAGAATATTCATTCCTTAGATATTATAGTTTACTTAGTTCTATACATAATTTTGCATCTATTTTCCTGATCTATTCATAATATGTTTAAGGGATGACTTTTCTTATAATAATAGTAGATGATAATGGGAGATAATGAAAGAAGAGACCTCGATAAAACTTAGAAGAAATTATTTTCTACAAATTTTCAAGAAAGAACTTTCGTTGTTATTCGACTGTTATTAGAAAAATTGGACGTACGATTTTCTCTCTTACTTGAAAAAAATATCTTTCTCTCTCTCTCACTCTCTCTCACTCTCTTTCTCTCTCTTTCTCTCTAATCCTTTCATTCGAGAACTCGTAATCGACGGTAGGTATTCACCGTGAAACGCGACGACCGCGAAGATAATCGTTACTAATTGCAGTAGAACATACGAATCAAACTATACAATTGCAATGGAGACGGATATAATTGTCACGAAGACGGATATTGTGAAATTCTTTCTTACTCTTTCTCTCTCTCTCTCTCTTTCTCTCTCTCTCTTTCTCCCTTTCTATCATTTTCCAACGTTATATGAGAAAATGATAGAAACGTAAAAAAATCGGTGTCTACTATGAAACAGAATAAAAAAGAAAAAAAAGAAAGAGAAAAAAGAAATTAATACCAATCTCGATATAGGATCGGTTTTAATCCAACGAATTTTAATTAAAAATTCATATAACCAAAGCGTCTTCATTTTTGTTTCTTCATTTTATCCATCTCTTCATTTTTATAGAATATATCGTGGTATCGTGTATTATCGTGGCATTATAACGTCCATTTTGATAATGAAATTTTAATGTATTTATTAGCTCACGTGCGATGTTGTAAAATTGTTTGGAAAGGTAAAAAAAAAAAAAAGAAAAAAAAGAGAAGAAAAAAAAATAAAAAAGGCAGGAAAAGAAGAAAACCGCAAGTTATGCCATTTTTGTCATAATATGCGAACAAAGAAATAATGTTTGAATATTCACATGGTATAATAAATGATAACCGAAGTTTGAAATCTTTCTTTTGACGCGATTAAAATCTCTTTATCTACTTTAAACGTTCCAAGATGGATTCACGGTTACGGCATAGTGCTACGATGACAATTATGCTAGTCGTTAACTAAATATCTTTCTCTTATAAAGGCACTACTTAGAGACTCTGCTAATTACTTAAATAGGATCTACGCGTTTCTCGTGACGAATGGTCTCATTATCGTCGTTCTAAACATTTCGTTAAGAAAGAAAAAAAAAAAAAAAAAGAAAAAAAAACAAAAACTATGCACGTTCCGTTATAATCCAAATGAAAGTCTTAGAAAATCGTTTAGGAAGCGTGACCATTTTTTCATACATATTTTTTTTTTTATAAATAAGAAACGGATCGGATCTTCCTCTTTTTTCTTTGTTTATTATTATTATTATTATTATTATTATTATTATTATTACTATTATCTTAGCATAATTAAGATGAGCGACTTCAAAAAATGTGTCGTATCAAATTGATTCGAATTATTTGATAAAAATGTAAGAAATTGTTTTTTTTTAATGAAGAACGAACGAAAAGAACCATCATTTTCTTTTTTGTATAAATTAAATCAAATAATTAAAATGTCCAAAGAAGATATATCATTTTGTATCGATAGAATGATTAGAAATTTTTCTACAAAATATCATTTAAATTAGTTCTCTCTCTCTCTCTCTCTCTCTCTCTCTCTCTCTCTATCTCTCTTTCTCCATATTCTTTATGGGTAATTAAAATCAAATACTAAAGATGTCTCAATAAAAGAAAAATACATTAGGTGTTGAGAATAAAAAGAAATCTACAATAAAGATTAAAACGAAATCGAACGAGATATTCGAACAAGTCGAAGAAGAAAAAATGACTATTAACGGTAACACGAGTCCCATTAACGATCTTCTACGTCGCGACGATGAGTTCGCGAGGTCAGAGATTCCAGGTTAATGGAGGTCAACATGTGTTCGCATTATACCGAGAAGGGTAAAAAGAAAGAGAGAGAAAGAGAAGAGAGAGAGATGGAGAGAGAGAGAGAAGAGAGAGAGAGAGAGAGAGAAGAGAGAGAGAGAGAGAGAGATAGGAAAGGATAAAAAGGAAAAAACTCTAAGAGATCGAAGTAGATCGCGATCGTTCACAATCGATCATGGGTGTTCGTCGAATAGGAAGTCGCGTGTCGCAGGTGTAGCCTTTATGATAATATTATGAACAACCGATGCTCACCGGCAGGTCGTCGATCCTGCTTTGTAAGC